GGAATGCGCCGTTGTCTTCCGGTGGAACCGACCTTCGAATCTCTTCACGCAACACTTTCACTCGAAATGGAAGTAAGCTCAACAATGTTCTCACAGGAAAGTTCATGTGGCCATTGTTTGAGAGAAGACTGTTGGATTGCGTCAACAAGTCCTCGGCCCTACGATACTGTCCAGTCCGTGTTGGGCTTTTGTCTGCGACTGGACAGAGCGTGAAAGCTTACTTGGCAACATAGTGCGCAAATATGCCTAATGTATACTCCTGGCCTAATTATGTTGGTTCTCTACTTCTTCAAGTATGCTTTCTCATCACATGACATTGCAAGTACTGGTTGTAGCCTGGTTAAAATAGCTCAAACTAGGCTTGCGTCATCACACGTCTTGGATCCATCTCTCTCGCTCTCTTCTGGCTAGGTCGCGTTGTTAAGGCTTTGACTAGCTCGGCCCAGTCTACGCTCCTCTTGGAGCATCGATCTGCTAGCACGGACGGCCTGAGCTAGAAACAGCTAAATCAAAAACCTTACTCCATGCTGCAGACACGCCTACGAGAAAGCCTGTTGCCTAGGTTGCGATCCCCTTGAGTCTGTTTCCCTCTGGCTCATAGAAAAGGCTAATAACGTGCCAGCACACACACGCACACACTATACGGCCTTTTATCCAGATCAAAAAAGTGAGAGGGCACGGCGAAGGAGTATAGAGCCAGATCCTGTAAGTTCATTTGGAATGACCGCTGTTACCTGAGCGCCTACGTTGCTCTATATCACCTGGAGACAGTGGGCAGGGGGAGGCAACGAAAAGTCTTTTTCAGTCTCAGATTGGTACCCACACCTCCGCTTAAGGCTTGCTGAGTCAACTTAATCTGGACACCGATGCCTCAGCAGGGCTTGGGGATGACATATGAAGCGATTGGTTTAATAAGGCTCATACAATAGACTGATGGCGTAACTATGATCTATTTGTCGAAACTACTAGCATATGATATACACGAGAGGCATTCACCCCATTTCGTGTAGTCATAGTAGCTGGCGGTTGACATTTTCCACAATGATATACATTCAATTTGGCATATCCTTGTATCTCAAGCAGACACCACCAGGCCACATTGGCACAAGTGCCTTTGGATCACGGAGCAGAAGCGGACTTGGAGCAAGCCCAGCTCTTCACGATATCAACACCCCTGAATCTTTTCTTTATGCACTTTGACACCAAATGAAAGCCTCCACAACAATGTTATCGCTGAGGCCTTATACTATAAGCTATCTCAATTGTCCGCTCACCGAAAGCGCACAACAGACATACCGTCCAGACGACACCGTCCATAGGCGTCATTTGGTATAACCGACAGACCAGTTGCAGAGGGGACTGGCGAAAAGTAGCCTCCGGCAGGATGTCGT